GAGCTGCACAATGGACGGTTTTTGGCCCGGGGCTGACGTACTTGTTGTCCCAATAACTTCCAGAGGGATTCCTTCGACGAGCGTAAACGGAGCGAAATGTCGTTCACGTTATAGGACGCTTTGTAGGAATCGATTGTTTTGTTCAGACAAAATATTTATATTAAAGAATTAAATGAAAAGATATTTCTTTGAAAAAGTTAATTTTGTTTGATTTATTTTTTTATATTTTTGGGGCTCCTGAGTAGTCACCATAGTCATATTGAATCGTGACGCCAGAAGCGAGAAATGACACGTTAATTTATGTTGCGATGCCATTTGTAAATAAAGACAATTTGGGTAAAACAAAATGATGAGATTGCTTTAAAACATTTGTAAAAATCGACGAAAACTATACTTATCCCCCCTGACAATCAGTAAATAATCGTACAAAATGATAAAAGGTATCACGTGTAAGTGAAAATAAACTACGCATGCGCATTGAATAAAAGCACTTCCCGTGCCTTTTATCACTTTTTACGATTATTTAACTGACTTTCAGAGGAATAAGCATAGTTTTCGATTTTTACAAATGTTTTAAAGCAATCTCATCATTTTATTTTATTCAAATTGTCTTTATTTACAAATGGGATGCAACATAAATTAACGTGTCATTTCTCGCTTCTGACGTCATGATTCAATATGGCTGTGGTGACTACTCAGGGGATAGTATCCCTTAATATCCGCTTTGTAATTTTGTAAAGAAATTGTATTTATTAAAAAAAATAACAGTATATTACCGATATATGTGCCGATTAATTTCCATTTTTATCTCTTCAACCACGTTTTGTTTAAAATTTGAGTTAATATTTGGGCAATCTGTTTAAGGGTATGTGTGTGCTCACATTCTTTTTTTATTTCTATTACAACAAAATTCTATTCCTAAAAAAGTAGGCGCGAGATTACCCGGTGGCAACGTGCTATCAGAGGACGAGCAGGATGGAAGAGCCGGAACATCAGAAGACGATGAGATGATGTCTGATTCCGAATCCTCGATCGCTTCCTTGACGGATAAAAAAAAATCATTTGAGCAAATGATGGATGAGGAAATTGTCATGTTAGCCGAGGCCGTTTGGGATCATGTGGCAATGGAGTCGGAAGAGTTAGCTTTTCGTGCTGGGGATGTCATCGACGTCCTCGATACCCTGGACAGGGATTGGTGGTGGGGTAGCTGCAGAGGAGATTATGGATGGTTTCCTGCCGCTTTTGTCAGAGTAAATATCCTTAAATAAATCCATACGATTTTTATAATAATAATAAATATTATTTTTAATACATAAAATATTTAATATAATAATTAATATGTATACAATATAATTATCATATTAATAATAATTTTTCAACGAATTACACACGCCATTTTTTATCTCTATTAGAATTATCTCGAGTAATAATATCATAATTATTTATTTATTTTTATTTAACTTTGTGATTATTTTAATTACCGAATTTTTAATTACGTAATTAAATTAAACTAAACGTATATATAATAAATAAACTCAGTTAAAATAAATTTGTTTGTAAAGTTGCGTGTGAGCCAAGAGGACACGGTGGAGGATTGTCTGGCTGCGATGGCTTCGGGAGGGTCCTCGGGTACTCAGCTTAGAAGACGGACAAGCGTTTCCCTACTCTCGAACGAGCAAGTGAGGACTAGCGTAGTCCGCGAGCTTGTCCAGACCGAGCGCGATTTCGTCAAGGTTCTGCGCGACGTGGCTGAGGGTTACATCGCGGAATGTCGCAGGCGCACGGACATGTTTACCGAGGAGCAGATCGAGACGATCTTTATCAACCTCGAAGAGCTCCTAGACTTTCAATCCGAATTCTTGAAGGACCTCGAAGATCGCATCGACTGGAACGCGCCGTACAAAAGCTGCGTTGGCGAATGCTTCCTCAATCATGTTAGCATTATCAAATTTCATCATGTTAGCATTATATTAAATTTTTTTTGTTGATAATTCTATTATATTTATGCGAATAATGAATTAATCGATACGTCTCTAAGTATGTCATTATCTTAACTTTCTTGGATTATATATTGAAAATTGAAGAGACGTTAGAAAGAATTTTATTTATATACCTTTAGATAAAAAAAAAGTTAAAAAAAAAAGGAGATGCTATTGATTTTTTCAGAGGGCAGGTTTTCGCATGTATTCCGAATACTGCAACAGCCACCCAATGGCCACCGCAACGTTGCAGGAGCTTTATCAGCACAATCGTTATAGCAAATTTTTCGAGGCTTGTCGATTGATGAGGGGCCTCATAGAAATCCCCTTAGACGGATATTTATTAACTCCCATTCAACGAATATGCAAATATCCTCTTCAATTGGCGGAGTTGCTGAAATATACGAAGACCGATCATCCGGATTATCACAAGATCCAGGAGGCCTTGGAAGCGATGAGAGACGTCGCGGTATTGATCAACGAAAGAAAAAGGCGGATGGAAAGTTTGGAAAAATTAGCCGCATGGCAATTGCGCGTAGAAGGTTGGGAGGTATGTCATTTTTCATAGTTTCAAATCAAATTGTCTTTGAAATTTATATTTTGGCTACAATACTGATTTTACCTGAATAATGCGAGCTTTATTTAAATATGTTTAATATTGATGACAATCGGTCGCAGGGTGAGGATCTCATAGAAGTTTCGTCACAACTTATTTATCAAGGTGAGGCGATGAGAGTGAAGACCGGCATGTGGACGAACAATATTACGTTATTCCTTTTTGATCATCAACTGGTCTATTGCAAGAAGGACATTCTCAAGCGTAATACTTACGTCTACAAAGGTCGCATCTATCTCGACACTAGCGAAGTCATTGATGTGCCTGATGGAAAAGGTAATGCTGTTAATGGCATTTCTCGATCATTTAAATTGTTATATCTTTTACGATAAGAAAGTAATAACTCATAAATTTTATAATTTTATAAAATTTTATTATTTTATTTTCATTTTGTGTATTACTGTCATCATAGCAAAGCACGTTATTAAATAATTAAAATAGAATCGGTGGGATATACGATGTATAACTGATCACGATTTGTAATGAAGATATATCAAATTAATAATCAATTTCCTTCGTAGATCTTCAATCGGGAGTAACAGTGAGACATTGCCTGAAGGTATACAGCTGCGTCCGAGACAAATGGCTGCTTTTTTGTTGCCGCACAGCGGAAGAGAAACGGCGATGGCTAGCGGCGATGGCTGAGGAACGAAGGCTAGTGGCTCAGGATAGAAACGATGGACTGGAGTTTCCAGCAGCAGCTAGGCAACTTGCCAGGCTTGCCGCTAACAGACAGCAGAACAGACCACCGATCAAACCTCGCAGTAAATATTTGCCACTGTGACATCTACAATCATATTAATAAAATTAGAATTTATTCAAACAAATTTATAATTCTACAATTTTATTTTTATCTTCTCTCTGGAATATTTTTCACTGTAATATCTCGCATTTTATTTTGTATTTATTTGTTCGATTTAGTTTGACTTATTCGATATCGAGACTTGTTTTATCTTATATTAATTTAACGATGTTGCAGATAAAACATATAAGAGGGAGTCGGCGTACGAGATGCCCACGACAATGGTCGGTGGTCAAGGCACCACTAATTCGTTGGGACGGAAGGTCGGGACCTGGTTCATGTTTGGTAGCAGTAAGAAAAGCACGCGGCTTCAACCGTCCTGAGACAGGCCTACCTTCGTACCGTATATTGACTTGTAAGCTGTAGCTAATGACGCTGCATCGTCCTATCGAAATCCTGGCGCGAGATATCTCGATATTGGTTGCTTCGAAACTTAGAAACCTTTGCAAGCAGACACTCGAGAACATCTTTGTTAACTGATATTCCAATCAGGGTGATACTGCTCACTTTGCAACCGGTCAAATCGTGGAAATTATTCTTCGTGGATCGATGAACGAACCACTAATCGCTAGGACCGAGGATGAACAGCGCCTCGTCATATGTACGGCACGGAGGTGTTAATTCATAAGTGGATTTTGTCCTACGAAGTATACCTCGAATCTTCTTCAAGGCAGGGAAAGTAATCGCTATCAACCGATCTTGATCATTGTCCGTGGAGAGGAAAATAGAAGAAACTTCCAACGATTTTTCATTTACTCTCTCACGAAAACAGACGTTTGTCTCTATCAAATGTCATCGTCCAATTTAGATATTTGCAAGCAAAAGTCGCTCATTATGCCTAACCAGGATTTTGTGAGTCTTCGAATCGGTGCTCCCCTAATTTTTAGGTCTTAAAGCAATGTTCGATCATCTTCGACGTTACGTATACGGCGGTGCTCAGTCCGAGAAACACTGTTCAAAGAGAGAACGTTTCGAAGAAGAAAAATATTTGTTACAAGCTGAAAAAGATGTATAATCGATCTTGTAGATATTTGACGTTAAAAATTACATTAATAGCGGACATGAGGGTAGATTAGAAAAGTAGAGAAACATTTAGAGATGTAGATAGCAGGATTGGGTAGCTAAGTTAAAAAGATAAAAGTTAAGTTAAAAAGTTAATTAATTTTAACTTAACTTAGTTACATTTTAAACTTTTAACTTTTTAACTTAATTTAGTTACATTTTATCAATAACTATTAACTTTTAATTTGATTTTTTTTTAAATCAATCCTCAAACAATGCGAGAGGATAATGAGTTTATAATTTAGTAATTTTATATTGTATAATCGTTACTTGTGAACAAAAATCAGATTCTTTAATAAATATGACATGAGAAAGGAAAAATACGAAAAATTATGTAAAATGGTCAAACTTTTTCTTTTTCTTTTTTTTGGTTGTTCGTTCGGATCAAATTTAACTTTTAACTTTCCAATTATTTTTTTTTATTAACTTAACTTTTAATTCAATTAATTTCATTATGGATTAACTTGTATTTTAATTAAATTAAATTTTCAAGGCTATTAACTTTAACTTAACTTAGTTAAAAAAAAAAAATTAACTTACCCAACCCTGGTAGATAATAAATATAACATAAAGTCAATAGCGGGTTTATGAAGTACTAAAGAGAAAGTACTAGTCATTCTTCATCGCGAATTCTTGATAAACACCGATGAAAACATGATATACATATATGATGTATTGTTACACACGCAATCGCTTTTTGAGTGGTAAAGCTGGCATGGTACGTCACACGGCTGTATTTTTTATGATAATCGAAAGACTGATGACCGAGATGCTTCCTCGAGAGGAAACCTTGAGGTTGTAATCTTGAGAGAGAAATGCGACGGGATCGATCAGGAAATATTTGAATTGAATTAAACGAGCTTCGCCTTCGTCTAGATTATTTGACCATTTTGAGAATAATTTTTTCGACCAATTTTATGTACAACGAGAAATAATTGTTTGTAATAACACGTTCTGCACAAATGTTAGCAAGTTCGATCACAAAATTCATATTGATTTTGCGAGGAAATTCTGATCAGTGCGATTCCGCATACCACTTTTCTCTCAACGAAAATATAGATGTATTTTGTAGAGAAAATCTCCAGTGAGCTATACAAGGTAACTCTTACTGCCTAACTAATGTTCGTTATTTCGCATTATAATGGTAATATTTGTAATAGTTTGTACGAAATTGCGAACGGCGAAAGGACATGGAAAAAACGAGAAGAGATGAAATGCGAGAGCAAAGGAGAGAAAAAATAAAATTTATGTTTTTTCGCGGAACAACGTAATAGCAGTATTACTCATACAGATGAAAAAAAAGTGATTAGTCAAGATATGTAAATACTCGCATATCATGCCTCCTTATTCAACTGCGATACAAAGCGCAAAGCTTTTAAAAGAAAAAAGACGAAAGAAAGAGGAAAGAAAGAGGAAAAAGGAGATGATCGAGAGAATCTCTCTCAATTTTTTCTACTCTTGTATGAAAGATGCACGATCTAGCAACGAGAAAATATCTGTCAGCCAGCAGAACCTCTATGTTAATTGTGCATATTATCTATGCGGTCCCTTGACAAAATGTTCGATCTTGCAGTTTTAGCGACTTAATCACGGATTCTGAAAGTTTCCAACACTGCCAATAAGTTTAAAGAAATACGTCTTCGTTCATTAGAATTGTTTGATCCGGTCTTTAATAGAGGAAGAGATCGGTGCGTTTTCGATTTTCTCTCTACATACATACGAGGGACAAACGCGATTATTCTGTCTTTTTTATATTTGTGTCTAAAGGGATGTAATACAAGTATGGGCGAGGCGATATTTACGTTTTGTATAACACAGAAAAGTATATTTTTACTTATTTCCTGACAGCGTAATTTACTATATACGACGAGGACAATATAATGATAAAAGAATGGATCAAGATTCCTACTGTACAGAGAGACCATTAGCCTGTTGATGTTTAGACTTAGGAGAGGCGCAATTTGTTGCTGGACCCAACTCATTTCAGAGTTATTTTTATAGAAGAAATGACTCATTAGTTCGAATGTGATTTTTTTAATAAGTATCGCTAATATATAAAATGCTTTAATGGCCAACATAAGTATAAGGAAGAGGCGTAACTTGTTAAAAATAAGTAGCAGAAAGATCCCGAGCAACACGCAGGTCTAAAAGACATCCTTCAGAGGAACGCCTTCTAAATAAGTTTTACAGGCATCTTTTGACGACACTCGTGTTGTCTACGGGACATGATATTGTGTAATGCACAAGTAAACACAACTTTTCACAAACAATTCACAAAACTGTACTTGCACTGTCACGACGGAGAAGTAATCGAAATCCGTGAACATTTCGTATCTTGCACTCACGAGCTCTCTCATGTATTGACAGGTGAATTACATATCTAATGTAATCTCAATACCGATTAATTTATATTTCGGAGAATACTATCCTCCCTCCCACTTTTTTTCAGAAACTGTCATACAAGCAGGATCTGCACAAAACTTGAGGAAAAACGCTTCGAAGCAATAAGTATTAAATTAAGCGTTATTGTTATAATTTAGGCAGTTGCTTACATACAACGTGTTTATATTTTCCCTGAGATTTGATATTGATAACCGTGTGCGTACATTCTGATGATGAAGCAGAAAATTTTTTCATTTTTTTTCCGTAGCGAGCTCGCGCTACATTAACGATGCAAGAGGAAAAGCACAGATAACGCATGATATCGCTGTTTTCTGTAAATATATAGACGTATTTTGTAAGTGTAAATACTGTAGACCTACTTTCTTGTTAGAAGAAATAACTTCACGTTTTGTAGTAATTAAGTGAAACTTACTGTTTAAGCAATATATCTGACGTTCATATAGTTGATTACTGATTAAACGGTGATATCATTTTGTATATTTGTATATTTCTTTAATTTAATCATCGTCAAAATGATTAAATTCGTCATTGCGAAATTAATTGTTCGCTAATTATTGTTTACAATATGTACAATAGAATGTTATACAATGATTGTCATGGTTTTCCAAATACAAACGCACACACACACACACATGCGCGCGCGCGCGCGCACACGCATATATTACACACAGGTGGTTCAAAATTTCACGACACAAAATACCATAGCAAGAAAATTCTCGAAAAATTAAGTAAAAAAGTTATTTTAAGCAGTAATTTTAGGGATGATGAGGATTTAAATATGGCCAATTACAGATTACGTTTAGATGACCTGTCTACGAATTGTACTTGCAATAGTATTAGTGAACGCTGGTGAACGCGCCTTTCAGCGCGCTTATTAATACACAGGTAATCTGTAATTGGCCATATCTAAATTCTTGTATCTCAAAATCTATTGCTTAAAATAAAAATTCACAAATAACTTTTTATTTAACTTTTCCAAAACTTTCTTGCCATAGTATTTTGAGTCGCGAATTTTGGGACACTGTATATACATATGCTGAGTTACAAATATGTAAATAAACATTTTATAACTATTATATTTGTCCATGTGTGTTCTTATTCCATCTTGTCATAACGATGTTCATTTATATCAGCAACAGAAAATATAAACAAGGAATCATTTTAATCCTTATAAAGATTTAAGTACCGAGTATAGTTACATCTCCGTGTTTTGAAACTTGGTTTTTCAATTGTGAATTTTCGTCTTTTAATTCAGTTATGACTTGTTGCAGTTGATCAATTTCTTCCATTAACAGCACGTTTTCATTCAAGCTAAGGGTTAATTTGTCCGGAGCATCTTTTAATTCCATAATGTATTCATAAGCTCGTGCTAGAATACCCCCTTTGCTCTATAAGTTAATATTATAATTAACAAATAATATAAGTTATATATTATAACACAAAATATAAAAAATGATTAAGAGACAAATATAGATATAACCCTTCACCGACGTCGTGAAGAAACCTTAAAATCTTATAAAAATCTTATAAAAATTTTTATTATATCTTTTTGATGTTTAGACTCTCATTTACCCATTTTTAATCGAAACTAATAATAAAAACTAAAAATTAGTATTGATCCTCATGTAAAGCATGTTAATAGACTTTGATAGACATTGAAAAATTTGATAAAGATCCAATGGACCCACGACGACAGTTGAAGATTAAGAATTTACAATATAAGGACAACAGTCAAGAACGAATAAATATTAAAGATGATAAATTAAGTAATAGTAAAATAATTTATTCCCATCTTTAGCCGTTGTCCTTTTTATATTGATTTGCAACTAACGAACCTTCTATTTATTTAATAAGAATTTACAAACGTCTTACTAGTGTTTCTAAATTCGGTTTTGTGTCTTCTTCATCCATATACTGCTCGCAATCTGCTAAGAGTTTTGCCAACTTAGAAATCCAACTGCTAATTTTGTCCCTTCTACGTCTTTCAACTTCATTATGTGTTACCCTTCGTCTTTCATCCCTCTAAATATAATTATCTTTCTAAACAAAAAATAACGATAATGTAAAATGTATCAGTAATATTAAATAACTTACCTTCTTTACAGTGGTTACAATATTCTGTGATCCTTCTATATGCAATTTAGCTACACTAGGCACAACTGCTTTAGCGGATTCTGACGTTACAATGTCATTGCTATTACTGAGTACGTATAATTGTCCATTCAATGGTGCAGTCAAAACTTGAACAGTATTATTCACAGGAGTGGCTATTGAAATTTCATTATCCTCTCTGCTATCGTTGCTGACCTGCATAACTTTGTACGCTACTGTATTGTTACGTCTGTTTATCGCATACAGGTGATACTGTATGTCATCATCCTGTTGTTCCTCAGCATCGCAATCCACTATCTCAGCTTCTTCCAAAACCACATCAACAGTCTCGGCTCCTATTACATTCTCATTTGCACTATAACATGAGTGTTGTTTCATTATCAAGAAAAGAAATATATATATTTACAGTATTAATGACAGACACAAAGCAGCACTTCTAAAAAATATTTATACCTTTCGTCAATAGTATCAAAATGATTGGTTTCCATTTTGATACGCGGCAATACTTTTATGATCATCAATTTGGTATACAAATAATAACGCGTTGGAGTATTTGTAGTAATTATACCGAAGAAGTGACAGGTGACATTACGAACCGGTATTGTTATAATGATTTACACATGGTGGAATTCTAAAGGTGAAGCATTGCGCATAATAGGGTGGGGATGGACGAATTTCGTCCAATCAGACATCAACGGGATGAAGTCAACGCAATGCTACAAACGCTTTAAAGCGTTTTTTAATTAGTCAATTTGTAAAATTCTTTCTTCTGATATTGATACATCAAATCCTTCAAAGCATTTGTAGCGAAATAATAGATCATGTTTTTTTTTTTTTTCGAAGAAAAATTCTGAACTAGTTCTGAATTAGTGCAATACTAGGTCTGTTTTTTATTGCTGCACTCTCTGAACTGGGGGTCGATTCTGTATCTTCAAACAAGGTGAAAATAGGTCTCTTCCATCGACATCTAGAATGGACCGCTGATGGCAATGGTGGGGGTAGAAAGACGATTAGAGTGAGAGGCAGGAATAATAAGATCGTTCTTTCTCTGTTTACTGAAGCCTGATTGGTTGTTGTTAATCCAACAGTAGTCCAACAACCAATCAGGCTTCAGTAAACAGAGAAAGAAGATCTTATTATTTCTGCCTCTCACTCTAATCGTCTTTCTACCCCCACCATTGCCATCAGCGGTCCATTCTAGATGTCGATGGTCTCTTCGCGTTGCATGAAATCCCCAAATATTTTTGCACTTAAAATGAGATAGATATATATTTGGCCTTGAAAAGAGAGAAAGCGAAGATGCCGAGTGCCAAAAGTGCAAGCAACGCGAACAGACCTAATTACAAAAGTGAGCAAATTTACTAGAATACTGATAATTTCATTGGTCAACAACTAGTAAATTTGCTCACTTTTGTCATTTTCACCTTGTTTGAAGGTACAGAATCGACCCCCTGGTGCACACACACGGTGCAATAAGTTGAAATGAGACAAACGTATATTTGTTTCACTTCAACCAGAGAGAAATCCATGGTGAAAGTGTAATGGTGCGACCCCATGATGCGGAATTGGCGCAATGAGGAATTGGCGGAATGCTCGTGATTGGTTTAGAAAAGACATATTGGCGGAGCGCAATTGACGGAATGCTTGTGATTGGACGGACATCGTTCCGCCAATTCCGTATTGCGTATACATTCCGCACCATGGGACCGCGCCATAACGGTTTTAAGCAGAGAGAAGCCTGAGAGCGGTTATGCCTGGGATTTAGCTGCAACCTTATTTTGAAGCGCCTCTATGTCCACGTGGACATTGAACTACGTAGCCAATGGCTACGTTTACACCGTGCGCTTAGTCCGCGACCTATACGATAGATGTCTTTGTTTAACTTACAGGATAAACAAGGACACGTATTGTATAGGCCGCGGCCTAAATGCACGGTGTCCACGATCCCGCGGCCTAAATGCCAATGTCCACGATCCCGTCGGTAATGTCCACGATTTTTTGATTGTATTCTTCGCTATATTCACGATTTTCCATCCGTTAGATACAACAGACAAAGAACAATTGTTTGTTCAATAAGCGCCGACAGATCGATTCTATCCTGAAAATTTAGTACAGACACGAACCACATCTATTTTTTGACGATGCGATTTTATCGATAGTGTCAAAAAATATATGTACAGGCGATTTCGACGGTAATAGGAAAAAGGACGACATGGCTCAGGTTTCTCTCTCTGGTGATAGAAATCGAAAACGCATCGCTGATAGACATACCACAAATTTTAAAAGATTTATACGATATGAAATGAAAATATCATGTTCCAATTAAAACAATTATTAAATAAACAATATTTAATAAATTGTTTAAAGTTATTAAATTATTTTATTCAAATTATTTAATTTTTTATTTTTATTTAATTTAATTATTTTTTTATTTAATTTAAATTATATTATATAATATAATATAATAATTATATTGTAATTAATATAAATAATTATTAGTTTTTACACAGAAAAATTTAAATTTTTTTTAAATCCAACAAATAATATCTATAAATAACTTTTAGAGTAATTTATCTTAAAAAGACGCTCAATACAAACATATTTTTTCTTATACACAAATATCAAAATATAATTACAAAAAGTATTATTCAACTACTCAATTTTAGTATGTACTTTCTTTGGTTTTACGAATTTGCCAACAACATAACTTAGAAATATTTTGTTAATTTGATACTATGTACTCGAAAAGAGTTTAAATATCAATTATAACACATATAGTAGTACACTATAATTCAATTACTAATCTTACACTAATAACATCTTAGGTAAATTGTACGAAAACTTAGATCAAATTCCGAACAAAATTAATTTTAAATGTCACTTGTAAATGGACCGTTTGAAGACAAAACAAAAATGACAGTACTTGAATCATATTATCGTCACATCTATGTTGTCACCTTTAAGAAAAAATGTTCCGTTTAGATTGTTTAGAAAATACAATGAAGGTACGATTTAACCAATACGACTTATAATCAACTTCACCCAACATAAATGCATTTAAAAGTATGTAATAAATATTAAAAAACTTATATTTATTCAAAAGTTAATTAAAAAAAAGTATAAAAATAAATACAAATAAAAATTAATGAGTATAAGATCAATACAATTAGTTAAGTACATATCATTCAAAAAAAAAGAACTTAGAAAATCCTATAAAAATCTATTAAAAAATATGTAAAAAATTGATGTTAGTGCAATTGTCTAACGTTTATATGCAATCCAAAAATTATATGCAATAACGATTTAATATATTTAAAAATATATGCAGCTAACTTATTGTCTTTTCATATAAATTTTAAATCGCATGAAACAGGCTCAAAATGATTAAAATAATCAATGGAATCATAAAGAAACAAACTCGAGGTGTATAAATATAAGCTTTTTTAAAATAATTCATTCCATATTTTTTAATACATTTATATATTTGCGTATCTTTTTTACCTTTGTAAAGTCTTTTTTAAAGATATTCTTTTATTAAAAATTATATTCTATATTGTATAAAAATATAAAGGACGAGGCAAAGGATTAGAAAGTAAAAGCGAAAGAAAAGTAAAAAGATTCGACAATATTATTTCAATATATTGAATTTTATTAGAAAATTCTTTTATTTAGGCTACAACATGTAATATAATTGCGTTTGGTCTAGACCCTTATCAAAAGAAAAAGCTAAACTGCACCATGTTTACTATTGTCTTATCGAGCCACTTTGCTAATTTACGCCTCGAGGAAAAAAACTATAAAGACAACGAGAAGTGAACCGTATGATAATATTTCTAACATTTTCACGCAAATTTAGAAACAAACTATGCTTATGTCGCATTTTATATTATTCAATTTTTTGACAGTTAGCAGCAACTGTTACGTATCAAAAGACGTTCGCGCGAAATATTCATTTATATATAAATTTATGTATCAATATTAGAGAATATTTCGCTAAATGCAATGTCACGGATAAAAAAACATGGATTTAGAAAATGTGCGAAATTCTCTGAATTGAATGCATATATTTCAATATCTATATGTACTTATAAAGATATTCTGTACTATCAATGATCCTTACTGATCTTCATCTTATCTGAACAATACCGCTTGACAATACAAAGAATGATTTAGCGCACCAACGAGCTCGATACATTTCTTTGAAAATTCGAGAAAATACAAATTTCACTTTCTCAATTCTCAGATTAATATTAATTTTTTAAAAATACAGGTCACTAGTGCGCTGAATCAGTCAAATTTTTAAATAATTATCGCTCCTAATTAATTGCTCGTAACTGATGCACATATTACAAAAGGTCGTGGATCAAAAAAGAATCTCACTGAATATACAATTGCCGATTTGAATCAAATACATCTTTATGATTACGAATCATCATCAATATATAAGATCGCAGGTCAATCACTTCTGCCGATTGCACGTTAAAGAAAAAGAAGATAGCACGTGCTTTCCAACAAACGACACAAATGACACGGTGTAACGCAATGGATCATTACATCCTTGTTGTTTGCCAATGTTAAACAAAGATGACATGATCACTGTGTCGCACTGTGTCGTTTGTTGGAGCACACAGCAATAATCGCTTTCATGATAGAGCTGGTTCCTCGAGGCGCAGCCTAAGAACCAGCGGCCCCAAAGACATGCTGTGCCTAAAGAAGAAGACAATAGTGATTGTACATCGAACTGCGTACAATCGATATACATCGTAATAGGTGTAAAAATAATAAAATTAGTGGTAGTAAACCCCTCTATTACATTATACTGCATGTAGAGTCTGTGTACATGTCTGTGGGTGTTTCATACGTGTATATGTGTGTAACCGTTCGATTCGGTCGCAAAACGTTCAACGTAGTAAAGGAAACTCTCCCAAGCAAGCTAATCCTAAGATAATGTAATATTCTTTTCTTGTTTATTCATATAGCTTCTATTTATATTAGGTATGCATGTACGTGTGATAACTAAACAGATACATGATTTCTTCTTCTTTCGTCGCATGCGGCCACTAGCAGCCTTAACTTTAAAGAGCAGGAGGCTGTCATGATCATCTATAATATTTGAAAAATTGAAACTTAAACTTTGCGTTCAGCGAAGTTTACTACCAGCCACCAGTACATCTGCGTCTGTCCAGTGGACATCTCGATCTGTCTCGATTTCCTTCCTGCACTCAAGATTGGCCGATATTCACATACTTGGCCTTAATATAATTATTCACGTAATATAGAGATCGAAAATACATCAAATTTTAATTAGTTATGTATCTTCTTTGACTATTAGAAAGAATCAGAATTGACTAACATTAAAATTAATTAATGTTGGTCAAATCGATCCAAAAAAGATTTTTGATAGTCATTTTTTCAAAATACCCTTCGAACATTTATATCGACCGACCATTCTATCTACATCATAATCACTCCGGTGAAAATAGTTTTTACATTGGATTAAATCCAGACTCAGATAGACCATATACAACACTTAATGTAAATATGATAGACAAGGATATAGATACTGACAAAGTGGGAGTGCAGAAAGAAACATCAGGTAGTATGAACGAGTCAGTTGTCCTTTAAATCACGCATCATACACACCGATAACATAGACTACTTTTAAATCAAAATTACTTCAAAAAATATAATTATTCCAAATTATATAATTATGTAAAAAATTTATACTATTATATCATATAAATAATATATATATATATAATTCTATTTTTTATATTTGTTTGAAAGACGGCGCGATATACATAAAATATTTGCACATGTCTGAATAAATCAAAATTATACAAATGTAGGATTATGTAAATAATGCATACCATGACATAATAAAATTTCTCCATGCATCGTCAATTACGCTAACTGCTGGTTTTGTTAAAATCCATTCTGTTTATTTTTCACATAGGATACATTTAAAGCAGCCTCCTGTTCTTCAATATAACTATATTAATGGTTTCTCATAGAATTATCAAGTAAAATTTGTAAAATACAATATACTGCCTATTATAAATTCTTAATCTTTTTCTTTATAAATAATTATAGTAATAGTCACACTGTTTGTTAATTTATAATATTCAGATATCATTCTTTTGAATTAAATTTAAATATTACATTTGTGCCCTTTCCGCACTAATTTTTATAGTATTTTGCATGACTGCATGTGTTGTGTGTATATATAATACATGTAATACATAATCTAAAGGACTTACGGGATATTTACAATATGTACATGTTAATAACGATGTCGTTCAAAACCACTCGATAATTTTTATTCCTTTCTCGTCATTATTAATGATCAATTTCTCATTTTTTTTTTCTTCCACAGGACACACTACCACTTCGCGGAGAATGAATATTTCATTCTCATCCTAAAACTTTCTGGAAATAACTTCATTTGAATTTTCAGCGGATTATAATAACGAATAATGGTAAAAAATGGTTCTGGTCAGATCTTTCGCCTCATCATAGACGAAACGACCGTTATGTCTTCACTTAAAGTTTTTGCGGTCGTACGCCGTTGCATATAAATTCAATTAAACTGAAAAGTAATTACAGAAAAACTTACAACTCTTAAAAAATAAGCTCCGCCATGTCACTATGATTCCATTCGCTCTACACTTGGCCAACCTTAGATTTGCCTCCGGCGGCGTAAGAAGTGCAAGGATTACAGGACAACTGTTTGCTTTAGAGGACGAAGAGGAAGACTCTATAGTTTTATTTCCACGTGACATACGCACTAATGTCCTTGAAAAGTTAGATCATCCAAAGTTCGTGTTCTACTTCGTGCGTCTACGTTACCACTTTTCCCTCTGTAGCAAAAGTTGCGGTCTTACCTGGGCACGCTCCCCCTACCTAATGATTTAGGGTTGGCCAAGCTCTCACTCATGCTACGAATCGAGATCGTCCTCTCTCTGGCTACTAAAGTAAGATACCAGGCCGCCAAATTCGCCGGTGCCATGGTCTTCATCATTCGGATGCGATTGCTGCGATGGTGCCTGAGGCGGTCCTTGAATCGGTGGTTGGTTGTCTGCCGGTGAGGAGAAATGTTCCGAGGGATACGGCGAACTCTGGTAGGCAGCTGCATCGTCCGCTGTAGACATTGGCGGAGGCGGCGGATAGGCACCGTAGTGATAATTAGGTGGCGGAGGCGGATGATACGGTGAAAAATTACCGGGCGGTCGATTGGGAGGTGGTGAAGGTTGCTGCATATTGTGATTTACAGGCGAGGCATTGGTAAATGGCGGCATCTGATGCCTGGGTCCCATAGGATTCTCGGCAAACCTAGCCATTGGTGGACCACCCCGCACATATGGTGGAGGTGGTGGTGGCGGCGTCGGACCGCCCTTGGCCAGTGGACTGCCGGCCGATGGTGGAATCATCGCCGGTCCGCCGGGCGTCAAGGGAGAACTACGATCTCTATTGGTAATGGAGATCGGTCCGCCACCCGATGGGGATGGATCCATCGGATGGTGTGGCGTGTGATACATTTGCGGCCCGGATACTCGCATACGCATTGGTGGCGTACCCGATCTGACCGCGGCAAAATGCGGTGGCATAGATGATTGACCCGCCTGTCTATAAGGGGACGGGATCCTGGCACGTGGTTGCATCTCGTATCCCGTTCGTGGACCGCCCATTATCTGTCCTCCAGCGTTGGGTCCACCGAAATATTTATGACCCATCGCTGCCGCTGCTGCGGTGAATGACTGTGGAGTGCTGGAAACCGGTTGGGACTGAAGCATTCTTGTGATGACGGAAGACTGTTGACCGGGTAGTGATGGATAAACTGGCTGCGAATTTGGCGATTGCGTTGATGGAGGGCCTGGTGTAGGCACGGTACTCGCTGGTGGTGTAGAGGGCGCCGAACCAGACGTGCTACTACCTGGCGTAGGAAGAATGTTTGGTATATCGTTCTGTTTCATGTCTGAATTCGAGTCAGTACCCATGCCGATCAAACCAACATCGGCCTTAGCTGCCGCTTCCGCGGCTCTAGCCGCCTCCATTGCAAGAGTCTTCTTGCCTTTGCCGCGACCTCGTCGTTTTGGCTTCACTGGCGTGCCATCCGGATTGAAAAGTTGTCCATCCGGTCCAGTCATAAGAGGCATGTGTCCTTCGATGCTCCTGTCTGTTTCCGGCGTCAGACCCGTAGATAAGATACCAGGATTCATGTTGTGTGACATATTGCTCACGCCATCCGGCGTGCCAATTCCACCGATGGTTGAAGCCGGCGCGATGCCCAGATTTGACGCACCATCCCTGCGCATCTGTTCAGCGAGGATCTCAGCTTTACTGCGACGTCCGCGCTTCTTTTTCTTGGGCACCTCACCGTCCGTTCCTTCGGGTGCGTTAGGATCTCTCTGCCTTTCTGCCGCCAGTATCTCCAGAGCCTTCAAACGCGCTTTCTCCAACTTCTTAGCTTCTCGTTCCTCCTTTTTCTTCTTCTTTGCTATTTCGATTGCCGCTAGCTCCAGCTGCCGACGTCCGTACTCTTCATCCATCATCATCTGCTCGAGCTGCTCATCGTCTAGGTCAGCCAGTTCTCCAGCACCAAGACCTGTCAGTGAACCTTCAGGAACGTCTCCGGTAAACGAGCTTGCTACTGACATCGTCGTGCCTGCCAGACCTACATTATCTGGAAGATTCTCATCAATTTTAGATGCTATGTCACCAATAGGATTGTCCATAACTGTGCCAATCATGTCTCCATCCATGTCATCCGTCAACTTTTGCTTACGTCCTTTGTTCTTGCTTCCTGGCTTCGGTCCAGGTTTCTTTCTTTGCTTCGGTACGTCATCAGATAATGACTTACGTTTTGTTGCAGGGCTCTTACTATTACGTGATTTCTTTGTCTTCGGTGACTTCTTAAATTTTAGGGCATCCTTCTTAGGAATATAATTATCTCCTAAAACATTCAATCAATATCTATAATTGCATAATCATTATTTTTATTTGTACATTACATGAAATATTTAATAAATTATAGTAATTTTCTCTTTTGTAACTCAAAAAATGAGTTGTATAATACCAATATCGAACGCGGCAATTAAAAATATAAAAATTAATTAAATCATTATTAAATCGCTAGAAAATCTTAGTAAGTCGTTATTATATCTCAGATGCAAGTCATAATAGATAGAAAGTTAACAACAGTATAACAGTTATGTGTAAATAAAATAAAATGCATGGATAATGCACTTTATTTAATTTACACATAGCTATTATACTGCTTAAACTCTCGTCAGTCAATGTAAAATGAATAAAATTATTCCTCTTCTAGTCAATTTCATAATCAGTTATAGCTGAAATTAATTAGAATATATTTTGGAGATAACTTTGGATATTTATTTACATAAAAAAGATAAAATATCTTAATTAAAGAATATAAAAAATAAACCGTCAAACTATATTTAAGGAAAAGTCAGCATAATTCAAATTTATAAAATCAGCTATTCGGAATAGCGCTGATTGGTTGCTTCAATGACGCATTCTCTTTTCCGCAAAGTGTGATTTCACCATTACATGAAGCACATGATGTATCGTTTTATCCTTCTTTATTATTTGGTGAACAACAAGGACAAATGATGCATCATGTATTTAATGTGTAACTCGGAACGTACCCTAACATTCCGTGCGAGCGTACTAAACCTTTAGACCATCAAGGCTTCCTTATTATTCCTCGCAATAACTCATATACGAGTATTTAGAAGTACGCATGACCACATGTATAAACATTAAATTATTAAATTGCTCAATTTAATTTGTGATATTACTATAGCAGTTCAATCGTCTTGCGTTTTCAAAACCGAAAATAATTTCGGCGCGCAGTTTAAGGACTACATGTATGTATGTAATAAATTCACACAGAATTATTTCATTACTAAAAATCTAATTTGACCGTTTAGGATCCTTATTTCATAATCGTTGTGTAGTCACATAACGACTTTATTAAAAACTATATTGTTTTAACTGTCGTTCGACATTTGTATTATATACCGTACAAAATAATAAGTTTTTGTTAACATTGATAATGATCTGATTATTCTAGATGGAAAAGTCTGTTTAATTGTTTATCAAATTTGTTTATAAAATTTAGCACACAATAATCTAGTTCGTTACCTATTATTATTAAATTTTACTTCTGATCTTTATAATTTTTTTGTGAAATATTTTATTTACATTTGGCTTATTTTATGCAAAAAATTGCTTCTGCTTTGGTTACATTACGATTTATTTGTGTACGATATTTATTTTATAAAAATATAAAGATGTTATGTTACCTGAATCAGAATCCTTCTCTCCATCATCATTCATATCGTCAGCCTCATTCATTACGTACTCATCTTCGCTTTCACCAGTCTTTCTCATCATCAATGCTTTTTTCAGCTCCTGTAAAATAATCAAGATTTGATACACGTGATAATTTCGTTAAAGTTAAAAATCACTCACCTCCTCGCTATCTGACGCCATTTCTTCTCGATAATTGATTTTTCGTCCTCGAGTCCGTCTGCCTAATATTTCTTCTTCTTCTTGTTTGTTTTCGTCTGGAAGTCCACCATAAATAATCTGTAAAGAATAAAATTTGATAAAATTAATATTGTTTGAAAATGAACGCCTATAATCAGGATTGGCAATGTTACCTCATAAAAATAGCGCGTTACCATTACCATTCTTTTTCCTAAAAAGTAACTCGTTATCGTTACTCGTTATTGATTTGCAACAGTAACTCGTTACTGTTACCGTCACTTAAAGTATAACGAGTACTTTTTCGTTAATTTTTTTTTCTTGACACTTAATAGAATATTATAGCGTTTTTCATTGGCAGAACTTGTGCGCATTAAAGCTATTGTACACTACTCTAATCTGAATGTAAAAATGAGATAGATCAGTTGAAAATGCCTAAAGTATATTTTCTCAAATAGCATAATAAAATGTATTGAGGATTTCGCGGTTTAACTCGTTTCTATAAATTTTTATTAAACATACATCTTTACATCGATTTGTGTTACAACGGCTTTAAAGTGCACTGAGTACGCACTAGTTCTGCCAATGAAAAACGCTATTACATGCAGATTTTTGCACTAAATATAAAAAAGATGTCAGAATTCTCTTTTAGTAGAGGAATAAAGCTCGAAAACTGATAAATGTATATAAGTAACTTGTAACGGCAACGACATTACAAGTAACGCGTTATTTGCCAACCCTGCTCATAATTAATCGTTAATAAATAAAAAATAAAGATACGAAATATACATACTTTTCGTCTAATAGCGGGAGCTTTTTTCGGTTTAGGGACAATGTCCTAAAAAAATAACATTGAATATTAAATTTTTTAAACAATAGTTAATTAAAATGTACTTACCTTTTTGATTTTCTGAATCGGTACTATTTCTGACGGCTGCTGAATTTGTGGAACCGGGACATCTGAAGTAGCAGCAGTTACTGTTAC